TTCCTCAACACAACACAACAACATTAAGCCTTTGTCACACTACGTGAGGTCAGCTACATGAATCCTTTTTCGCCATTGTGTCCAGTTAAAAGTCAAATTCTCATTTAAATCTAATAAAGAAATATCATTTCTAATATTTTCTAACCAATTCTTTTTAGGTCTACCTCTACCTTTCTTAACATAAGTCAAATCTAATACCACAACTTTTCTAACTGGGTCATCGGAAGGCCTCCGTTTAATGTGACCAACCCATCCAAGACGACTCTCTCTAATCTTATCTTCCACTGGAGCTACTCCAACCTTTTCACGTATATGCTCATTTCGTATCCTATCTCTAGTCAAGCCACTCATCCACCTAAGCATCCTCATCTCTGCAACACTTAACTTAGTATTATGCTTCTCTTTTAATGACCAACATTCGACACCATAAATCAATGTTGAAGTCTTCCTCATCTAAAAAAAAAAAAGTTTAAAGCTTTTGAAAATTTTAACAACATAGAATTATGACTTTAGAAAGATTAATAAACATAATCACTTCTTAGACGTTCATATACTTTCCTTTAGGGACATGAATTAAGTGAAATCTTATCAATCATAAATTTATGTGGGACCCAAAAATTTTCAACGCTCAACTCTACTATAACTCTATTCAAAATAAAATAAGTATTTTCACGTGTGTGTATAAATATACATAATTAATGTAATATAACCAGAAGATAAAATTTTAATAATTTAAATTACTTTGGCCACTTATCCGGTCCCTTTGTCGGAAGCGGGCTTTCACATGGCCGTTTGTCTTTATCTTGAAAAAGACGCTCTCCTCACCGACCGCCCTGATCCAGCTGTGAGCCGAGGTAGAGCAAGGGGCCCACACCGCAAAGACTTAAAAGCGTGGGTCCTACATTGGTTCTGCAGAGCTGGCCGGTCACCGTCCCGGTCATCAATCACTACTGTTCTTCCTGACACCTACGCAGAATTCCCGATACAGCTTCACGAAATCCACACGGACCAAACCCTAATTCCTATTCTCGTCTCCACCCGGTCAACATATTTAATTCCCATTTTAAATTAATTACAGTGTGATTAACAGATCATTAACATTAATTTTTGACATTCTATTGTAGTGATATTCCATGTGAGAACATGCAGCATTAATTTGAAAAGTGAAGAAGAATAAAAGTTTCAATGTTGCTCTTAGTTATTTTAATAAATCATGAATTTATTTGGGACTGCCTTTTTATTATTTCATAAAATGTTTTATACTATAAACTGCTTTAAGAAACAGTAAGAAAACGGTTCCAAACGAAGCTTATATAATAAATTATAATTTTATGAATGTCATGTCTTTTAAAGATAAGAGTATCATGATTTGAAGAAATTATTGTTAACTCAGCTAACTCAGTCAAAGGATAGTCTTGCACTCATTCTTCCCCATCCACTAATCCGAATTCCACTACCCATTTTGTCACCCGTCAGTACACGGATCTACCTGTTTCGAAACAGCCCTTCACTTATCCACTAACTCTGATCTTACTACCTCCTCTAGTTCTACTTTCATTACTCCTCCCATGCATCCTATGACAACTCGATCGCAAACAGGTAATCTAAAACCCAAATGTATATTCAATCTTACACATCAAGTTGTTCCTCAAGACCCCACGTCTTACACTCAAGCTTCCAAACACAAACATTGGCGCTTAGCCATGTCACGAGAGTTCCGAGCTCTTCAATCCCAAGGAACTTAATTGGGACATTGTCATGTTCTCTCCCAATCAAAATATTCTTAGGTGCAAATGGATGTTTAAAATCAAATACCACTATGATGGCTCCCTTACAAGATACAAGGCTCACTTAGTGGCTCTTTGTCACAAACATGAATTTGCATTGGTCAGCCTTTAGCCCTGTTGCTAAGATTCTGACCTTCCGCATACTCTTATTCTTGCTCTCCATAAAAATTGGCCAATACACAAACTTCACGTGTCTAACGTCTTTCTACATGATTCTTTACAAGAAAATGTCTACATGCATCAACCACGGGGATTTGTTGACAAATTTCATCCCAATCATGTGTGTAAGCTTAAAAAGCATTCTATGGTCTTAAGCAATTCCAGCGCCAATGGTTTGCTACACTTACCAATTTTTTGCATTCTCAGGGATTTCACACAAGTCATTTTGATCCATCTCTTATGATCTATCACAAATGCAATATACAAATTTACTTTCTTATATATGTTGATGATATTATTATCACACCTAACAATGACAAATCTATTCAAGCTCCTCCACTCTTCACAATCAATTCACCATGAGACACCTTGGCACCTTGTCTCAATTCCTTGGAATTGCGGCAGTAAGTACTTCAGATGGTCTGCTGCTTAATCAAAGTCGGTATGCTCACACTATTTTAACTCGTGTCGTCATGCTTAATTGTAAACCTGTGTCAACTCCTATAACTGCTAAATCTCACAAAGATTCAGAATCTTCAAAATTATTTTCCAACCCGTTACTTTATTGCAACTAGTAGGATCTTTACAATATCTCACCTTAACAAGGCCTGATCTCACATATGCGGTTAACAAAGCAAGTCAATATATGCATCAACCAACCGACACTAGTTTTAACGCTCTCAAATGCATACTTCGTTACATTAAAGGTTCCATACATCTTGGTTTACATTTATCTCGCACTTCCTTTCTTATAACCTCTTATGTAGATTCGGATTGGGCTGGCGATCAGCATGAATGAAAATCAACAATAGGTTACTGCACTTTTTTAAACTCGTCTCCTATTTCCTATAGTGTAAAGAAACATCGTACAATTGCTAGATCATCTACCGAGGTCGAATATCGTGCTTTAGCCTCAGATACTGCTAATCTTATATGGACTCATCGACTTCTTCAAGAACTAGGATGCCCTCAAACCGAACCCACCAAGCTTTCTGTGACAACACGACTGCTATTTCTTTAGTCAACAATCCGATGTTTCATGCTCGCACAAGCACATTGAAGTGAATTTCATTTCATTCGTGAATGCATCAAGAATAAAACAATCCATTTTCCCTTCCATCCAAACTCATCATGTAATAATCACTCCATGATTAGGGATTTATCACTCTTTTTTGGGGGATATTTAAGTTAGTTAAAATAAATTCACAGAAAAATTATATACGTAAGACTCAAATTCAAGACCTTTTAATTGATAGTCAAAACTCTCTCGAACAACATACCAAGAAGAATTGGGTAAGGTTTTATCACTCAACTCATGGAAATAAATTTCAATTTTTTTACGACAACAATAACAACAATAAATCTTTATCCTACTACATGAGATCGATTATATGAATATTTTTCTCCATTAATTATGTCTTTTTAAGAGTCAATTTTTAATTTTTAAAAAGAAAAAAAAAACACATATAATATATGAGAAATAAGTAAAATTTTATATTTTATAGATATCAAAAGAAATTCAAAAACATTAAAATCTAGTTAACAATATTGATCGTTCATACATCATAATGAAATTATCTTGATCGGGCACGAATCTCGGCGCAAAAAATCAAGTTGGAAACTTCAGAAATTAAATCCGGGTACACCCGAACTCCGATTTCAGCAAGCTTATAGTCAAACTGAGCGTCTCGGAAATATGAATCCAACGACACCAAATTCGACTCAATCCGTGCCCAAATGAGCCCAAATCGAAGACTCGAAGTGATGTTGGAAGGTTCGAATCACAATTTGAGTTACCAAACGGTCTCCGATTTTACCGAGCTTGTACTCGAATCGAACAGATCGACGAGAAAAATCCAACGAGCCAAAGATCACCGAATTCCGACATCACTAAGGCCTTCAAATGTCTGACGAACGGTGCACAATCGTAGGATTCAATATATCGGCCATCCATTCGACCACTCCCAATTCGCTCCTGATCTCAGGCCTATTTAAGAGCTATGCCGCTCCAGAAAAACTATAAATAGAGTCCTCATTTTTCACAAAGGGGGGTCCAAGCAAGAAGAGAAGAGGAGAAGAGAAGGAAGAAGCTCCTCCTCGACCACTGTCGGAACCTCGCCGGACCACATTAGGAGCCTCGCCGGACCACCGCCGGAGCTTCGCCGGACCACCATATGAGGCCCTCACCCTCACCAGACCACCGCCGGAGCCTCGCCGAAACCCTTGCCGGAGTCTCGTCGAACCACCGCCGGAGCTTCACCGGATCACCACCTGAGGCCCTCACCTTCGCCAGAGGCCCTCACCTTCGCTAGAGGCTACCACCTTCTCCGCAACACCACCTGAGGCTCGGACTTCTGCTGGGCCACTACCTGACGCCTAGAGTTCTACCAGAGAACCGCCATACTACAACGGTCTTTAAGACCCCGGTCTCCTGCCGACTACGGTCCTCTCGACCTCCGTCGCCTACTATGGCCACTCCGACCTCCATCACCAGACAACGGTCACTCACACCCCCGTCTCCTGCCGACTATAGTCCTCCTGACCTCCGTCGCATACTATGGTCCTTCCGACCTCCATCACCAGACAACAGTTTTTTCGACCTCCATCCTCTCGACTATGGTCGTGCTAACAAAACAAATACATCTATTGTAACTCCCACCATGTAATACACTCTATATGATATACATTTGTGACATCAAGCCAAGACCTTCTCCTTAAGAATGCCTCATTTGTAATCGACTAAAAATACTAGTGGATTCATTCAAACTGGGCCAGGCCCCATGGTTTTTCCCCCTTTTCAGGGGTTTTCCACGTAAAAACTCTGGTGTCTCTTATGAACGCTACACCCTCTCACTTATCTGATTGTGTGCTGGATCTTCGTACAATGCTAAGATGTTAAATTATATATTTCTCTACGGCCGCGAATATTCCAGTACGCAACAATTGTAAAAAAAATTTCTAAGAAAATAACAAAAAATTAATAGTAAAAAAAAAACTGCTGTGACACTTTGAAAAACTAAACAGTAAGAAACCTGCTTAAAGTAGATCCTAAGATTCAATAACTAAAAAATGTAATCAAATATACCATTATAGTCTTCCCACTATCAAACAATAATGCATTTACTGTGGCAATGAAGGAGAGAAAAAGATCTTTGGTATGTTGCAAGGAAGAAATGCCAATGATTTCTTGATAGTTAGTACAGTATGAGTGGGCAATCTAGAAGAGATGTTTTTTTGGACGAACAATAATTTTAGCAAGAAAAGAATAATATATCTAGATTCTAGAAATAATGACCGATGAGCCAAACTAAGAAGAACAGCATACACATGGCATGAATCTCTCTCTCAAATCTACTTTCCACCACAAGCTGGCAAGCAAATCCATACCTTTATCCTCTCTGATGAATCCATGCTCTGACCGAATGGAAAAAGAGAATCAAATTTCCTTCTTTTTCTTTCTATTAATGCATGGAAGACTCGAATACCACAGCAATGGCACCGAAGCACGAAATTAACTCTAGTTAACCCCGGCAATCTCCCCGTCACGACAAACGCCCACCTCGATGGCCATCGTCTTCTTTCCAACTTTTGCAGACGGAAGAACCCTGCAACAATTCCTCCTCGGTGCCTGCACGCAAAATTTAAGAATTAACAAAAGCTGGAAGCAGGATCGAAACAGGGGCGAAGCTGCAGAAGAAACCTACCCTGTCCCAGAGAAAAGGGTCTGGCTTCTTGTAGACGACGACTTCTTCAATAAGCGTGGACGGGTTAGCCGTTTTCCAACGGCAGATCGGAGGACGAGGATCCTTGTGGAGGCGATAGCGAGTCAAAGTGGTGCGGCGAGAATTGTCGTATGAAGCCGAAGATAGGTAGTAAAGGAACGGTTTTTGACAAGGTTTGCGCGCAACGGGGCGAGTATTGAACGCGTAAGCCGTGTAATCAGCCCGGCGATACCAATTAAGAAAAGTTCTCGCCGGAGTCTCCATCTCCCTCGGTGAAATAACGCCCCTCACCACCTGCACGACAAACCCCCACGACACGGACAACGTCCAGTGCTGAGAAGATAAGTAGCAAATCGATTGCTGCATTACCCCTGCAGAATCCAGCCGCACAGGTCCTTCAAACAGTCGCCGGACCGCCGCAGGCTGAGACTCCGAGTTTGGGAAGATAGCATCGACGATATCGAGGTGGTGAAGACTAACCAGCGGCGTAACGGGATGCGCGGCGAGGAGGCCGAGCAGATCGCCGTAGATGTCGAACTGATGAAATCCCAAATGGCGTGTGAGTGGAACGCCGAGTTCAGCCATACATGCTTGGATGCGATCGTCGCTGCCGTAAAGCGCAGGGTATCTATGTATGCATCGGTCCTGCATTCGAGCAAGGGAAACAGCTAGCGGGCGGCTAATGGCGAATCCACCGCCACCATAAGCCATGCTGTAAGAAAAGATGATGTTTTGGAGATGGCTTTCTGAGTAGGAGCCAATGTAGTATGGTTGCCGGTGATCGAACTTGTTGAGAACGCGGACGAGGTTATCGGGAAAAAAGACGGTATCGTCATCGCCCATTACGAACCACCGAACGTTGTCGAGGCCGAGCCGGACAGTTTCGGAGACGATGCGGGAGATGCGGAGAGCCGAGCGGCTACCTTGTTTGTGGTTATAAGGGAACTTGGAGGTGTCGGAAGAGATCTTGATGGCGGGGAGAGAATCGGCGGAGGATTTTGGTTCCTCCACAGGCGAGTCGAGCCAGACGTAACCACGCATTTGGCGGGGTCGCCACCATATTTTAATGTATTCTTTGCGTTGCTGCCAGAAACTGGCCGACGCCGCGATGCCGAATACAATGTGGTTAAGCCCCGTCGCAGTTGATGCCGGCGGCGGCAGCGGGGGCGGCGGCGGGGGCGAAGAGGGAACTGGAGGAGCAAGGGAAGCGGGAAGGGAAGAGGGAAGGAACGAGGAGTTTGAGGAGGAGGTGGAGAGGTGGACAAAGTGGTCGGCTTCGTCGGAATCGGAGATGTGGATTTGACTGGTGGAGCAGGTGGAGAATGGGGACGCAGAGAAGGTGAGGATGTAAAAAATGCAAAGGCAGGAGAAGAATACGAGGCAAATGAGGGACCTTGAGGAGAATAATCGGAAGAATGGTGAGGTTGATGTGGCTGGCGAGGCTTTGCCCCATGGGTGTTGCTTGACAGCGGAGGCAGAGAAGGAATCGGAGCTGGTTTCCTTGTAGTTTCCACCTCCTTTCATGGAAATCAGTGGCTCAGAATATTTTGCTCTGTTCCTCTATTCCACGGCTTTCAGAGATCTAACAACCAGGACAAAATTGTGATCCGATTTGAGGAGGAGCAGGAGAAGATGAATCCCTCACCAAGAAGCCTGCGGTGAGAAAGAGCGGCGAGACATCGAAAGGATGGTGCTAGGCATTGGGAGGAGGAAGAAGGATGAAGAACTGAGGAGCTGCGGAAACGGAGGGGATAGGGAAGAAGATGATGGAAAGCTAAGCGTGGAAGGATTCGTCTTATGTGTCGGTTTTCGTTCAATGTTTGTTTGGAGTTTTTGCCATATTAAATCTTTCATTATTTGCAGCTGATAATAGATTTGTGGTGCATGGGGATTAAATCATTGGACTTTGTGAAATATATTTTTAAAACTTTTGTTCTTACACAACTCTCCTTGGCCTATTGGTTGAGAGCTTAGGCTTCCAACTAAGAGGTCCAAGAATCGAGTCTATGTGTATGCGTTGTGTGTGTGAGTTTGCCTTAATTGGCCTAAATGTCCCCAAAAAAAAACTTTTGTTCTTTAATTAAAGTGGATTTTATCTGTTTAATTAATTTAAAGGACATGAAGTTTTCTGTAAAAACGGGTTAAGGGTTGGGTTCAACTCGAATCCGACTGTGACATGCTTCTATTCGACATGATCAGAATCCAACCCGTTTTTAATCAGAATTGTTTTTGCAAATAGGTCAAATTAACAGACCCAAATCCGACCCACCTCGGATCCGGGTCAACCCGACACGACTTGGCTTTGGTTGGCGCTCATAGGTTAAGGCTACGACAGATGGTAGCGACAGCAGATGCGGCGGCAAAAGCTGTGGCGTTAGTTTGGCAGAGGATGCAGTAGCTGAGGTTGCAGTGGCACGGTGCTATTGATGGATGTCACGTGGATGGCTAACTAGCTCGATATTCCGAGAATTTGAGGCAGTGACAACGAACATATTAGCAGAAACAAATTAAAGTCTGATGTATTAGCTGCTTGTCCACGTGTAAACACATCATTGGTTATGTGTCTCTTATATCTGTTCTCCTAAAGGCCTATATAAGGAGCTACTGTATCATAGTTTAGGATATAGAATAATATTTCATTCTGCAGCTTTACACTCTGTTCTTTGTCTTCTTCCTCAAGTATCATTACTTTCTACATGGTATCAGAATAAGGTACTGATCCTCTTCTTTCTTGCCATGTCTCAATCGCTCTCCTCCGCGGCGGATGTCCATCGGACTTTCACCGGTACCGCTGAAGCAGAACCCGTCATCCCGACGACGCTGAAGTTCTTGGTGTCTCACATCAAGAACATCGTCGCTCTCCAACTTACACCAGATAATTATACAATCTGGAAATCCCAGATCTTAAAGATCATTCGGGCAAATGGGTTCCAGTCATTTCTTGATATCTCCATTGCTCCACCCGATCGAAATCTTCGATCAACTGATGGGACGTCAGTCGATAATCCGGAGTATGTGTAGTGGCTACTCACTGATCAGAACATTTCCGCTTCAATCTGCTCGACTATCTCGCCTACTGTTCTTCCATATGTCATCTCTCTCGACACCACCGCTCAGATCTGGAACACCTTGGAGCTTTGCTTCCAATCAACAAATCGGTCGAAAGTTATTCAACTCAAGAATGATCTTCACCATATTTCTCTCAAGAACTCCTCTATGAATCAATACCTGACTGAAATCAAATCCCTGGTGGATCAAATAGCTGCCGCCGGCTCTACAGTTGATACCGAGGATATTATATTATACATCCTCAACGGTTTTCCTCCCTCCTACCAATCCTTCAAAACTGCAATCCGCACCATGCTCACTCCGATCTCCCTAGATCAGCTATACCCTCTTCTCTTAAGCGAAGAGGTTAATCTGGCTGCGGAGGCTACCAGATCTGCACCGGCACCTGATCCCAACACGGCTCTGTTCTCATATAGAGGCCGTGGCCGTCGAAGCAGAGGAAGAAGTTCTGCTCCAGCATCTGGTAATCCAAGAACATCCAACTCTCCTCCTGCAATCTGTCAAATATGTCTCAAGCGGGGTCACTCGGCCCAGACGTGCTGGCACCGTCTGAATACCCAATATACGCCGTCACAACGACAGCAGAATACTACCTTAGCTGCCCACGCCGACAACGCCAATCCTAACTGGTTCTTGGACTCGGGGGCTCTGCGCATCTCACGAACTCCCTCGACAATCTCTCAGTCTCCCAGCAATATCATGGCGCTGACACGGTGACCATTGGAGATGGCAGCACTGTCGGGATAGCCAACACGGGGGCGGGTATTCTCCCGACCCCGTCTCGTAAGCTAACTCTATCTCATATTCTTCACTCTCCCTCCATTCATTACAATCTCTTATCAATTTCTCAACTAACCAAAGACAACAATGTAGCTATTACCTTTGATCCTACCGGATTTGTTTTGAAGGATTTGACGACACACAAAGTACTGTTTCAAGGCCCGTGTAGTGGCGGCCTCTACACCATGCCAGCAGCGACATCCACACCGAATAAAGGGCTCACGGCATCCATCAGCTCGGCCGCATCTTGGCATCATCGTCTTGGGCACCCCCACAAAGGAACTCTTGATTTACTGTCTTCTTGTAATCCGTCTTTAAACATAGGAAAATTTCTCACAAATTGTATTTCTTGCAACATGTCCAAAGGTCATAAGCTTGTTTTTGATAACTCGAATAATCATCAAAACTCTCCGTTAGCTTTAATCCACTCAGATGTGTGGGGGCCTGGTCCCATTATTTCGAATCAGGGATATAAATTTTACGTTACTTTCATTGATGATTTTTCGAGATTTACCTGGCTTTTTCCGTTACGACAGAAATCCGAAGTTTTTGAATCCTTTGTCAATTTTAAACTTCAAGTTGAAAAATATACTTATCAGCGCATTAAGTGCTTCAGGACTGATGGTGGACTTGAGTATGTTAATAACACCTTTACCAAATTTCTCAAAGCAAACGGTATCCAGCATCAAATATCCTGTCCTTACACTCTGGAGCAGAACGGGCTAGCGGAGCGCAAACACAGGCACCTTATAGAAACAACTCGTACGCTGCTCCACACAGCCTCCGTTCCTTACGTTTACTGGCCAGATGCGGTTCTAACAGCAACGTACTTGATCAATCGGCTACCCACACCCACGCTTCAGAATCTGTCCCCATTCGAAGTCTTTCATAAATCCAAACCGTCCTACACGCATTTAAGGATCTTTGGTTCTGAATGCTTTCCTCTCATACCGGCTCAAGCCCGTCACAAACTTCAACCTAATGCCCATCCTCATGTTTTCATTGGGTATTCCGACACATATAAAGGCTATCGCTGCCTTAACATACATACTAACAAAGTTGTTATTTCACGCAATGTTACTTTTAACGAACTGTTTTTTCCCTTCGCTAATCTGTCTCAGGATCCTGTCACTATCTCCGCGACCACATCCCCATTTCTACTAACACCGGCTTCGATAAGCCATGTTCCTAACTCTTCCAGGACTCATACCCCTCCACGGCTGTCGCAAGCACTCCCTACTTCCTCTTCGCCTCAGCCTCCGCAGGAGAACACGTCTTCCAGAATGATTGAACCACAACCTTCTACGGTTGCTCTGCCTCCATGTGCCAGTTCACAACCTATTGTCAAACTGAGCCAGATGCATCAAATGATAACACGAAGCAAGACAGGCTCCCTTAAACAGACCAAAAGACTTAATCTACTCCACCAATACAATCCAGCTGACGAGTGCTCAGATCCCACTTCATATATCGAAGCTGCCAAGAAACCCGAATGGAGAGCTGCAATGGCTGCTGAATTCCTGGCATTACAAAAGCAGGGAACATGGTGTCTTGTCCCGCCACCTCCAAAGGCATCCATACTCGGTTGCAAGTGGACGTTCAGAACCAAGCGTAATACCGAAGGTTCAATTGTCAAATTTAAAGCTCGTCTTGTTGCTTAAGGGAATCATCAGGAGTACGGGATCGACTATACGGAGACCTTCAGTCCCGTCGCCAAACTTCCCACCATACGCATACTGCTTGCAATTGCATTATACAACAACTGGCCAGTTCAGCAGTTGGACGTTGCCAACGCATTTCTGCACGGTCAATTATCGAAGACCGTATATATGGCACAACCTCGGGGATTTGAAGACGCCCTGCATCCAGAATACGTCTGCCACCTTCAAAAATCTATTTACGAACTCAAGTAAGCGCCACGCCCATGGTATAACACTTTCACTTCTTTTCTTGTCTCCCTTGGGTTCAACCATAGCCAATCGGATCCCTCGTTACTCCTCTATCATAAAAACAAAACTAATGTTTATCTTCTGGTCTATGTTGATGACATCCTTATCACCGGCAATGATAAGAATGCCATCAATCGCATAATTGACAAACTCAAACAGGAATTCTCTATGAAAGATTTGGGTACTGCAGCTGAATTTCTCGGCATTAAAATACAACGGAATGCGGACCAAATATTTCTGTCCCAGCAACGATATGCGGAGAAAATTTTGCATCAAGCGGATCTCAGCCGCTGCAATCCGCTGGCCAACCCATCTTGTACCAAATGGCCAGCTGACGCGCCCACTGTCTCCTCACTCCAGGACGCCACTCTGTATAGAAGACTTACAGGTTCACTACAATATCTTACAATAACCCGTCCCGACATTGCATTCAGTGTCAATCAACTTTCACAACACATGCACGATCCCCAGCCAAAGCATGCCTACATGCTCAAACGTCTACTTCGCTATATCAAAGGTACGTCAGATTTTGGAATTCCTATAACTAAATCTAATCTTCGTCTTACTTCTTATTCAGATGCGGATTGGGCGGGCGACCCAACGTCACGTAAATCTACAACCAGATTCTGTTCATTTCTTGGCGACACACTGATCTCGTGGACTGTCAAGAAACAGACCACCGTTGCTCGTTCTTCCATCGAGTCCGAATATAGAGCTCTCGCAGCTCTTACGGTGGACCTCATATGGACTCGAAGGCTTCTAAAGGAGTTTCAAATTTCGCAGGATTCACTGTCGACCATCTTTTGTGACAACACGTCAGCAATCGCCTTGGCAAACAACCCGGTCTTTCACGCTTGTACCAAGCATATCGAGATTGATCATCGCTTTATCCGCGATCTTATGCACAACAATACTATCTGCATTTTACCTATTAGCACAGTGGATCAAACGGCGGACATTCTAACCAAGTCTCTATCCACGTCCCGCTTTCAGTTTCTTCGGAACAAACTGACAGTTCGACAAGATCCATCAGTTTGCGGGCGGATATTAGCAGAAACAAATTAAAGTCTGATGTATTAGCTGCTTGTCCACGTGTAAACACATCATTGGTTATGTGTCTCTTATATCTGTTCTCCTAAAGGCCTATATAAGGAGCTACTGTATCATAGTTTAGGTAGTAGAATAATATTTCGTTCTGCAGCTTTACACTCTATTCTTTGTCCTCTTCCTCAAGTATCTTTACTTTCTACAGATACAATCATAGTTCAAATGAGGCCAAATCATGCACTTTAAAAATGTCAAAAAAAAAAAAAAAAAACTTTGGGGCAATAATTGAAGGACAATCAAAACAAGTGGCTCAACAAGATAAATCTAACAAATATAAAATCACTTGATTTTGAGTCATCAAAGTACTTAAATGTTGAATAAATGAATTATACTAAAAAAATTTGGTATGATGAGGCATCTGATAAAGTGGTATGATATTTTTTTCTAAATGTAGTAAAATTCTCACATTAAATTAAAGTATCATAAATATATTCTCATTCTTCACATAAAGGGGGCTTGGACTTGAGTTGGAAAAGAGCTTGAGCTCTAAAAATCTCGGGAACAATACTTGAAATTTGATGGCCATCCATTGCTATCGTATGGTAATCAATTGCCTTCATCTTGACTGTCATCGTCCAACCGCCAATTGTTATCATCTATTTGTCATCAAGACTGTCGCTTCACTATCACATCTGACTGCTAGCTATCAGCGCTTGATTGTCACTATCTTATTACCTACTATCACTTAATTGTTATATTCCAACTATCTTCTTCTATATGATCACTAAATTATTGTATCTTTAGCATTTTCCTCATATTCATAGAAATAAAAACTTGTAATCATGTATTCTCTAGTTAAAGGAGAGTACAAACTTTCGTAACCTATCTACATAATAAATTATTTCACCTGGGTCAACCGCAAAATTTTCCTATTCATATTGTTATATAAAATTAAAGAAATCTATTTCATTTTTTTATTATATGTTAATGTATTAGATCTTCATAAAAACTAATATGTAAAAATTCAATCTCCATGGCCATAAATTTTCTAATGGTCAAAAAGTCTAATATTTTAGTAGTATAATCATATTACCTAACAAACTAATAATTTTGATGAATAACAAATAACATATAAATAAAAATACTCTCATTATAATAAAAGTTTATAATATTTTTACATAATATATTTATTTCCCATTTGATCTTAACTGCTATCCTCCTCTTATGCTTTATGATGCTAACAAGTTTGACCAAGACTAAACTAATTATTATCAAATTGATTTAATTTCAAAAGTTTTGTTACATTAAAATATCTTAATTGCATAGTTCATCTTAATATGTTAGTTGGGTGCTTTGGCTTTTTGCATCCGACCCGAACCCGACAAGTTGACCCGAATTGACACCCCTAAATAGACCCAATCAAGAGGTCTTGGTTTCAAAGAAATAAAAAAAAGCTTCTCAATTAAAATTTACAAACGACCCTTAAATTAGAAATTATATAATATACCTATTATATAATTCACACGACTCCTCCTTTGCATCCGTGCTTTTGCTTCGCATCTGTGCTCGATTCAGCCTTTCGTGCGATTCTGCCTTCCACATTCACTCGTGATTCCTCCTGCGTCTATGTCCACCATCCACACTTGAGCCGCTCTACAAGATAACGAGTAAAGCAGTGTCTGAATCAAACTCAATTTCAATTACCCAATGTGCTCAAAAATCTATTCGAACTTGAACTCAAAACTCAATAAAATAAACTTATGAGCTCTAACAAGCTCCTAAATCTACTTGACTCGCTTGCACCACTAGTCTGACTATGCTCTGCTTGGCGCAAGTTTGTAACAGAACAACTCGCCATTATTATTTTATTTAATTTTAAATGCAAATCACACATAATATAAATAATGAAAATTCCCAAATTCCAATTTCTTCGGACAAAAGCCCACAGTGCTAAGTAAACAATCGGCACGTGACGCGCGTCACAACGGAAAAGCAAAGCATTAATCATTAGAGGCATCCTGAAGCCCCGAGGTGGTCGGTGTGGGGCCCACAGCGCGGAGGATAAGCTCGTATCCAGCCGTTTATTCTTCGAAGCGTCCCTCCTTCCTACTTTGCACCTCAGATCGCCGGTTATTTATTTATTTATTTATTTTTGGAACCTGCTATTTACATACTAATTTTAGTGTATCACATAAATAGAAAGAAACCCTCCGGTAGAAGTTGATAATCACACCTATAATATAAATAATGAAAATTCCCAAATTCCAATTTCTTCGGACAAAAGTCCACAGTGCTAACTGCTAAGTAAACAATCGGCACGTGACGCGCGTCACAACGGAAAAGCAAAGCATTAATCATTTGAGGCATCCTGAAGCCCCGAGGTGGTCGGTGTGGGGCCCACAGCGCGGAGGATAAGCTCGTATCCAGCCGTTCATTCTTCGAAGCGTCCCTCCTTCCTACTTTGCACCTCAGATCGCCGGTTATTTATTTATTTATTTATTTTTGGAACCTGCCATTTACATACTAATTTTAGTGTATCACATAAATAGAAAGAAACCCTCCGGTAGAAGTTGATAAGTTTGGCGCCATCAGTTAAAGGAAGTCTCGATCGTTGGAGAAGAGATTCCGTCTAGGGTTAGGTTTTGCGAAGATGATTCTGGTGGCAATCGTCGCAGAGCTGCTCGAGGAGTACACGGTGCTTTTGGCTAGGGTTCTCGAGCATCTCCTTAACGAGGCTCCTTTTCCCCGGCGTATGCGCTTCCTTATTTTGCGGAGCCTCTCCTTCGCCTCCACGCCTCGCCGGAACCCAGAAGCGCCGGCGCTCTGAATCTCCCGCTGTTTCGATGTAAATATGATATTTCTTGCGTCTACCTTTGTGTCCTGTTTTTTAGATTTTGCGTTTGGAGTATTGGATATGTCGAATTTTGTGGGGGAATTTTGTGATTTCGGTCTATTGTTGTGATTGATTTCCGTGTGGCCCTTTAATGAGGTTTCTCCGGTATTTTAATGTTCTTAAGCAACTAATAACTTGGCCTTGAATCTGCAGATGTTAATTTGAGATTTTTAATCCTCTTTTTACATATGACTTGGCATCCAAATAAAGCCAAGAAATAATTTGATGAAAATTTGTGATCGTCCTGGTGGATAAAACAAGAGAGATCCTCAATTGATCCACTTACAATAATTTTGCATAATGTTTTTTAAGGAAAACAATTAGTTGAGAAAATTCAGGAAGCTTCCAGATTAATCATGAAAGTGTACGGTCATATTTTTTGTCTGCAGCGAAAGCGTAGCTACAGAGTTTTGAAGAAGATGGGGCCGTTTGAAAGTTATAAAAAATCTATCAATCTTACAATGATGTAAAATGGGAAGCTTCTTCCTGGGTAGTGCGTTGTGAGTGTTCTAAGTACAAATTACAAATTTGGGATCTGCGTTGTGAGTATTCTAAGAGCATCTCCAACCGAAAATGTCATTTTTCACTCCAAAATGCAGGGAAATCAAAAAATGCCGTATTTCATCTCCAATCCAACGCCATTTTGCCTCTAAAATGGTCGTTTTATATATATTTATTTATTTATTTATTTAAAATTATAATCAGTATAAAATTGTTTACATGATCAGTCTGTTGTCTTAAAAATAAAGATAGATGTCTTGCATTTTCTTCGCAACTGTTTTAGTACATAATATTTCAATTTTTTTTTCTTAGTTGCACGATACTTTTATGACGTCGATTTTATTTGTCGCATTTGTATCTATTCCAAATGAGATCTAAGTTAATCCGTCTCTATAAGGTTCTTCTGATGCTAATGTTTCCACCATGGTGGATGGGAAATTTAGGAGTAATGACTTGTTGAATCCGGTCAAATCGGCCTAGATGAATACGGTGCATATGAGTTTCTTGATTTTCGTGGTTCTTCTTAAAAGGTGAGTAGAGAAAGAGAGTGACTGCCAATAATCAAATTCGACCTATTTGATTGAAAGGTTGAATATGCAAAAGGGTTGTACTTTCACATATGTTAAACACATTTACATCAGGTATGGAAACATGTGGGTAGGGCTGCAAACGAACCGAGCCGAGTATGTGAGTGTTCATGTTTGTGTTTGCTTAACATTAGCTTGTTCATGTTTGGTTCGTGTTTACATGTGGGAGTGGTTGAACTTAGGGTATCTCCAACTGAAAATCCCATGTTTCACTTCAAAATGCAGTGAAACTCAAAAATGTCGTGATTCATCCCCAATGGAACTCCATTTTGCGGGCTTCTGCAAAGGTAATCGTCTTTCTCCTCTTTGGAACTTTTCTTCGGCAAATCCGGTTGAGACAGAAAAATCGAGTATGTGAATTGTGCAACACCAATATTGGCGTCGCACTGTTCACCCGCAAGCAAACAGCGGAAGATTTGGCGTTCGGCTGGAGCGACTGAACGATGCCATACGCATGTTTGGCGTTTGGTTGGATATGACCTTAAGGTATTTTATCGCTTGTTTCCTCTTTCATAGTCATTTGATTTTTGAACTATTTTTTGATCCTCTAGTGTCCTTGCAAGGTGATGAGATAAATTCATCTCTCCGACGCCACCATTTTTTTTTATACTGAGGCAGAGATATAGGAAAGTTGTGCTGCATGATGGGGTTGTTGAGCTTCTACTGAGACACCTTCTATAGAAATATCTCCAATGAAGAAGGGGAGGGTGAGGCCACTATAATCAGCTCCAACAAGCACTATAGTCGTAAAGGAGGCTACGGAATTGAGGAGGTTGATATTTGAGAAGGCCGTGAATGAGGCTAAGACTGTTAACATGAGGGTGAACATGCTTGTGGTGGCTTTGGTGATAACTGTAGAAGCTATCCTCTGAAGTGGCCTGTCATGAGAGCGAAAGTCGATAGACCTTCAGAGGTGGTGGCGGGCGCAATTTCATCACTTTTGGGTTCTCTTTATTTTATAAATCAAAAGGTTTATGGAGTTTGATGCTCCTTAGAGCAAGGGATTTGCTTTTTTATTTAGTTTCAAATATACCTAAGCTAATAAGGGAATGTATCCTACAAAGGAAGCAGCTTTGGGATTGTTTGGTCCAGCTTGTAGAATAGAGGAGGATCAGGTTGGGAATGCTGTGAGGATGGCTTGGACAAAGTTACTAATGAAGTTGAGATCATTAACAAGAAGAATGTTGATGAAAGATGGGAAAATATAGGGTGGCTTGAAGGGGACAATCACAAGAGTTATGAATGACAAACTTTGTGAGTAGGCTGGAGGAATTATTTGTCTATATTGCATCATTGAAGAAAGTGATGACTACTCTTGAAGGTGGTGTTGAGCCCTAGATGGAAAGATTGTTGAAAATATATTTCTTTTGAGGTTTTTGATATAATATAGATGTTATGAATCATAAAGTTGAAGATAAGTTGAACTAGTATAGTATTCACCCTATCGAATAATGCTAAGGGTGTTCATCTAAAAGCTCTAAGAAAAATGATTCTTTGGAGGTTTTTAAGCAAGTCAAAAGGTTACAATTTATTAAAGTATAGATCAAGATGAACTATTATAGCGACTGACCTAATAAATTGGTTGAAGAATTCAGGAAGGGAGTTAGTTCAAAGGTTGACAAGTTGAGGATTGGTCTTCTTGTAGAGAAAGTTGCATGAGATTTCATCGATGCATTAATTTGCAGTGGTTATGCAGTAGAAAGTAAATTTTGTTATGAGGTTATTCTTGTATTGTATTTCTTTTGAATTTAATGTAATGAAGTTTATATTTGAAGTTAAATTTCTTTATTTTGGGTGATTAGATTAGTCTTGATCTTTCTAGTTTTATTTTCTCACTTAATTTTATGGGCACGAAGTTGGGCATCATTATATTGTTGCACGTTTGAAGGAATTTAGCTTATATTGAGATTGTTCATTGTCGGGATATCATTCTTCATTGAAAATAAATGTTCATTGGAAATTGACTTTTGTTTGAAGAGGGCCTTCACTTAAAGTCGGTCTTTATTGGAAGTCTTCTATCACTTGAAGTCATACTTCATTAAAAATCGGCCTTTATTAATGAAGTCAATTCCAACCAATGTTTATTGGGTCAAAGATGATGCTTTGATGTATATTTTGATTTGTTGATAATATTAGTGAGATGATTGCATGGATGTCACTTAAAGTGGGTGAGGTAACCCATGATTTACTCATAAATAGGGCTTATTCGTAGGACTTTATTTGCTCTTTACATTAGTATGTTTCTAAAGAGCTTCAAAACTTTGGGAGACTACATTGAAGCAAGCCACCTTAATGGAGAAAGAGTGATCATGATATATTTTGATCAATATGGGAGTTTATAGAAGTTGGAATATATTTGTGGAAAATTTTCCTCAATGACAAGAATTTTCAAATGGGCTTCATTTAAGGGGCATGTAATTCTCATATGCACACACTATCAAAATTAATTACATATTAGATGAGAGGATCAAGAAAACTCTCAATAGAAAATTATTATTAGTTTTTCGGTTCAATGTACGGATACAATCATAGGAAAAATATGTATCATAAATGATGATGACATGACTTAAACTCTCTCGACAAAAGATATCTTCTAACTCCACCTAAGCAATGTTAAGATCTTAGTTTCAAAAAAAAAAAAAAAAAGATCAAGATCTTATCATTAAGTCTCCATGTAATGTAAGAAAGAATGTGATTGAATAGAAAGGAAAGAAATCTCACCTTAGAGGCAATATGGCTTGCATAGACAAACGGTTGATATAGAGATGCAAGATTAATCTATGCATATACATATATGCTAATACATATGAAGATCATGTTATATGAATGCGAGTCGATTAAGTTTGTGTTTACAGAGTCCAAATTTTTTGACTTGAAGATACATAACCAAATGCTACAATATAGTTTTAATTTATTGATTTCACAAAAGGGCAAGATTACATTTTAATTATAGATTTTTTTAAAAATAAAAAGATGGTCCAAAGACTGATGAACTTAAAAAGTGCTTTATAAGATTTTGACTTTGTTTGTGATAAATTTTTTGCTACTCTCTAAAATAGCTGTTTAGTACAAAAATTTCACGAATTAGAATTTTTTTGTACTAAAAAGTCATTTTATAAAGCATCAAAAAAATTGTTCCAAACAAAACCTTTATCTCTTAAATGTTTTCAAGAGTTTAATATAAATAGCATCCATGTATAAAAATAAAATAATGCACGCATGCAAACACAAGTAGTTGGTATGAAAAAATCAATTAGTCTCAAGATTGTCTTAGAAAATAATAAAAATTTGATTACGCAAGATATGAAAAGCAAATGCAATAAACATTCAAATTCTCACTCTTTTAGTCCTCTATGCTTCTACCATTTTTAGAGACTTAGCCCAACAACATGAATACAAAGCAAGTGTTTTATTTTAAATTATTGGCTATTTCACTAGCCTTTTAATCAATATATAAATTATTACGTAAGATAATCAAATTATGCTAACTCTTTTGGATCTATCAACTCAATTCAAACTTGAGTCTCTATGGTGGTGAGGGAACTAGGTATGTCGCTGTGGTAATGCAAGCAAAATTTTATTTGAATTGCCACTCTATAGACAACAAGTAACATGGAGTTGGTGGGTTAGCTTGTTGAGATTAGGAACTTACTAAAATAGGAGGTCATGGGAGAATTAGATATGTGGCATATGGGCACATAAGTGTTAGGGGTGCACAGGGTGGTATATATGAAAAGTGTCCAATGGATGAGTTGGTAGGAAGTCAAGAGCTTTTGCGTTGAGCTAAGGAGGTTCATCTTTGCATGTTGAGTTGATGCATTGTGTCTTACGAGAGACGATAATTAGTCTATATGTGAGTCGTGGTTGTATCATTTGCCATCTCTCCTGGTATTGACTGGGTAAATTTGATGATATGCGATTATAAATTCGGCGGCTTATGTGGTGAAAACTTGAGTTGTGTTGGCATAAAGAAGCGTTTGTTGATTTTTTTGTTTAACAAGTGAGTGGGGTTGTTAGCTTGGAGAGGCAATTAATGGGATGTATGAGTGACCAAGTTGAGCTATCAACTTAGAAAGACGATGGATTGTGAAAGTAGCCAAGTGCGGTTAAAAAAAGGCCTTTTTAATTACTTAAATTGGGTGCAAAAGTTAATTTCTAAGGCTATCCTAGAGACGCAGTGTCATGCCCTAAGATCTAAATTGGAAGAATTGCATATTTTCTTTCTTGTTAATAACTACCAAAGATACTAATTTTATTTAATAACAAAAAAGACCAAAAAAAAAATCTATTTAACAAAACATTCATGCATGTATGATTTTTATTCTTTCCAAATAAAATCATTTACAAATGAATTACATTTGCCAAAACTCATGGCTACAAAAGAAAAACAACAAAAATAAAATTAAACTTGTAAATCCAGACTCTGCCCCGCCTCATAGCATTGGATTCATGCCATGATTTGAAATCAATTAAATTCACATCATAAGCTTACAATGATTACCAGATCACCAAATCTTACAACTAGATTTAAATCACAAAAAATTTACAATAAGCATGTTTCATTCCAATCATAACTATAGCATTCAATATGATCATAATTCTATGCAATATAGTAAATCTGATAATCATAAGTCGTATGAATAGTACGAATGCTAAAATAATAAAGTTGTGATTCATAAAAATCATTCATGAATCAAAACTATATAAAATTAATAAGGATATTATATCAATCATTAAAACCAAAATATCATATAAAATCTACACATACAGTTGGGTTTAATTAGTAGTATCATGTCAATATGTTAATTACATTAATATCATAATTTTGAATGTATCTTAATCTTGAAATTGATATCATATCAGTAACAATGCACGTATAAAAGCAATCATACTGAAACAAGTAAGTAGTTCTGATTTGCGTAGTATTTTTTACAGTGATCGTACTTGTATCATGTTCACTTTAATATCTTATTATTTAATTTAATATTCATGTGGCTTTGGACCAAGCATTATAGCTCTGCATGCTCAATCCATAGTTACTGTAGAATAGAGAGCTCAACACCGCCGCTTTGAACTCTAGGGCCCTAACGCTGCTCCCCCATCTTTATTACGCCCACAAGCACAATCTCGTAGTGCTCATGTTCAGAAGTTATATATTTTTCAAATAAATTCATTTAAAAACTATGAGTTATTACACACAAGTATAAGCTTAGGCTCCATTTTCAAGAAGGTTGCCCTTCCTTTTTGTCTTATGAGGCAACAATTAAGGCCCTACTAGGTGGAGCTCTTGGTGAAAAAAAAAAATAGGAGGTTGGAACCGTACACTTGAGAGGAGAGTGAGGACGTCTAAGGGCTAATGCATATGTTCCTAAAATTGGTAGCTTAGATCAATCGAAAAAGGTGGGTGATCAAAAGTTGTCAAGAGTTGGACCATAACTAATTAGTGTCATGGCTCTAGTGCAGGTAGATGGGTGCAGTGGGGTTTTTAATTCATTAAATATCTTTAAATACTTATTTCCCTCTTCTTCCGTGATTACTGTTGGCTTGCTTTGTGTATCTCCCATTACTAGTGTTATAACACTAGCCAGCTGTATAATACTATTTGACGGTACTGATAGTATTGGAGCTATACTATGTTGTTTATTATGTACATTTTACTATGGTAAATCAATTTCAATTGTTCACTTGTACAATCCTATCTATACAATTTTAGAATGCAATTAATTATGTATAGAAAATAATGCACTTTAATCTACCTAATTTTATCCTATTCATAATCAATTCCTACAACTTTGGTACGTAACAATTCAATTCTTCCAAGAATAATGCTTTGATACTAAAATTTGTCATGCCTTAGAATATTGTTTGGAAAGAAATGTATCTTTTATCTTTAAATAATAATAACTAGAGCTATATAATTTTTTCAAAACATTAAAAATAAACTTATTAATCAAAGCTTTAATATACACTTGAGTTCATTACATAAAGATCATATATATTACACATGAGTCATACAAATACAATATACTATTTCTCACTCCTAAGTTTGAAAGAATAACTGAAAAAAAATAATATTGAAATCAAAATAATCATGTATCGATCTAATCAGCCTCACACTCCTGAACTTGTTCCCTGACCTGAAATCATTAAACCACGTATATTAAGCTTATAAAGCCCAGTAGGTCACTAAAATCTTTATAATGAACTTAACTCATAAAAAAATATACATGAAATTATTTAGTTCATAATGATAGTAATCAATATGATAATGAATTTGTACATAAATAGTAAAACATATAGGACAATAATAAAGCCTGTAAGATAGTACAATGTGGATGTCATAATGGTAAGGCCGTAAATTATTACGCCATGAGATCTAAAGTGGATGAATTTTATTTCTTAACTTATTATTAGCTTCTTTTTTAATTCATTAACAACTACACCATTGATAATTAGAGCTGGCTAATTGCATTCAAGAGAAATATAAACAACAATAAATATTATTATATTTTAAATGATCAATATTTATATTTTTGTATTAAAGGTCAAAGTCTAAAATAATATATACAATATCCACTATGGGCTATAGAAGAATACATATAAAATCAAATAGCTGAAATTAAGTAGAACTATACTACAAATATTGTTTAGTCTCAATACGGCAGGCTCCTTATCTTTACTTGAAATTATATAAAAACTATATAATGAGCATAAAAGTCCAACAAGCAACCACAACTTACTACTACATTTAATATAAGATAAAATAATCAATATGTCTTCTCTAGTTT